TTTCCCTCCAGTTAGAGGGGGCCCTCACCATAGTAGGAAGGAGTTGGCTAAAGGACAGAGGATGAGGAAGAGGCCCACTCAGACACCACTGGCAAGGACAGAGGTGCCTCCCTGATGCAGGGACACTGCTCATGTGGCCCGAGCCGCCTTTCTTGGCCATCTCCATCTCCAAGCTGGGAGATTGGAGGGTACAGCACGCAGCGCGTGTCCCCTAAGGCACCTGCGGCCCGCTCTGTGCCGTGATCCCAGCTCAGGAGGTGGAGGTGCCATCCGAGGGGTGCCAGGGCCAGCAGAGGGGAAGGGGCTGTAGTTTAGGTTGGGGTTGGGAGGTCTCTGTGGAAGAGTCCTGGGGTCCTTTTATTGGGGCCTGCCATGTTTGCCTGTCCTGGGGACAAGGTTGCACATAGCGGCACTCAGGCCGTTTCCCGTGTGTGGCTCAGAGTCATGGGTTTTTCTGAGCTTGAGGATTTTGTTTCCCTGATGCTCAGGTGCCTGCAAGCATGAGAGCAAGTCGTGTTAGAGGATCCAGGAAGGGGTGGCTGCCTTGAAGCCTGAGCTTGGTACCTTTTCCCTCCCAGGGGGCAGGAGGGATGGGCAGGTGTGCTGAAGGCAGGAACAGAGCAGGGAGTCCCTCACCCTCCAGCCCATGCAGAGGGGGGTGCTGGGGCTGGCCTGTCCCCTGGCAGCTGTTGCCCAGGCCCTGGGGCTCCTGAGGGGGATGCCGCACCCCATTCTGGCGGACAGCCCCCTGTACACCCTTTGAGGATCGGCCTTTATGTGCCAGGCCCCCTCTTTGTCCAGTGTATGGCTAAGCCGAGCAGAGCCTGGGCGAGGCAGGTAGCCTATTTGAAGAGGTCCCCAGTGTCACAACTGGGGTCCCAGGGCTGGTCCAGGCCTTTCCCTGAAGCAGGAGCCAGACTTTGCCAGACTTGTTGAGGCTCCATGGCCCCTGCCTAGGAAGAGGCTGGTGCTGGCTGAGCCTGGACACTGCCACTGCCTGTGAAAACACACTCTGGCAGCACACTCATACCCTTACACACACATCTTCACACCCACACATTCACACTTGTACACACACGTTTCTACTCACAGCTACATACCCAGGTTCACAGGCACCTCACGTGCATTCTCACACGATCCCACAACTTTCCTCCACGGTGTTCACAAGCGCATATGTGGATTCTTACTTACATTCACACATTTGCTCACGCACCCACACCTGTGCCACTCACATGGACACCCCACACTACTTGACAACCACACGCTCATATTCACAGATGTACATTCATACACACGTGCCCACACAGGTCCATGCTCACGTTGTACACGTTCCCATTTCTGCCCATCGCACACCCAGATTCACACAAGCACCTACATGTGCGCATACATACTCGCACACGCTCACAACACTCATCCACGCACAGCACCCGCATTTATTCACGGTACATGCACTAACAGATACACTAATTCATACACACCCATATTTGCTCACAGGCACGTACATGCTCACATAATTTACACAATCACATTCTTGTACAGATTTTTTTAAAAAGAATTATTTAACTTTATTCATTTCCTTTTCATTTGACCAGAGAGGGGCAGAGTGAGAGCGAGAGGGAGAAAGAAAATGAGAAAGCAAACCTGGCCAGGTCCAGGACTTGAACCATGGTTCGCCATGTGGGAAGGACTTTAACCAGCATGCTACCTGCTGGCCCCACCTGCACACATATTCATAGTTGTACAAGTCACACTCTCAGACCTCATTGCTTAATGTACTCCATTCACACCAGCACACATACTCCCACGCTCTCACTGAAGTAACACGCACACACACTCACGCTCTTGGAGAAAGGGCCTGGATTAACTTTATGTACCTAGCAGTTAGTGCAACCGGTTCAATTGAAGGGAAGTTTTTCTGTTACGTTTGTTCCAGAAATTTTGAAAGATTCAGAGAAGTGGAACAAAGGGGAAAAGGAATCCACACCCACACCCACATTCTGCTGCCAGGGCAGCATCCATACTGTGTTCGTGAACAGCTTCCCTCCTTTGTCCAGGCCTTTACGACACGGCCGTGGCTGCACTCGCCGCCCCAGGGCCCTGCTCTGTGCCGGCCACGACAGAGCGTGTGCTCGCTCCCGTCATCTTAGCGATGCGCCTTGCAGTCACACGCGCCGCCCGCCATGGACAGTGGGGCTGCCTCTCATTAGTCAC